TGACCAAGAAAATATGGTGGAAGTGACAGTTTGTGACATTGGCATCTTTGTCTCAAGAGGTCTTTCAGCTTCCAATCTTGTTCTCTTAGAATACTGCTACCTTGTAAACAATCCTAAACTAGCCTCCTTGATGATGACACATACCATGAGACAAGAGAGACTGTGAAGAGACAGAGAAAAGGGCTCAGCAATTATAGCAATCCCACCTAAAGCTCCAGACATATTAGTGAGGGTATCTTGCCAGTCCCCAGGCATCCCACCACCCGACAGCAAACGTGAGTGAGGCCAGGAGATACTATGTGAAGCAGAAGTACTGCACATATGAGCCCAGCTCAAATTTCCAACCTACAAAACTGTGATCAAATAGATAATTGTTATTTTAAGTCCTGGGCAATTTGTTTAACATTCTCAGACTAGACCTTCACTTGAAGAAAAAAAATACTATCTGTCTTATACGGATATTGTGAAGATTAAGTGAGATAACTTATGCAAAACATTATCTATACATTCTAAACAGTCAATAAATATTTAATAACATGAAAAATAATAACTAAAACAACAACCTACAATATTAAAAAACATGTCCAAGATAGTGATTTAGAAGAAGCTTTGGATGGAGACAATGAGCTTAGAAAGTTGGGCCAGATGGAATCTTCAAGGCCAAAATTCTTTTCCCCACACTACACTGCCTCTCCATATTTGTTAGCCTTTATCTAGGGGTATTTATTTACTTGGAGGTGAGGGGGGAGGAACAACTCTGTATTTTTAAATCAACAGTTCATTTGTATTAATTAGTTACTCTTATTATTCCATGATGTCTCAGAGGGCAGAACAACATATAAAACATGGATGGAACTTATGAGAAGGGTGATTTGGGGTCAACAAAAGGAACACACTTCTAAAATAAATAGATCTTTCTATAGTTATAGTAGGTTGTGTTACCATAAAGATCTAGCATATTCCTTGTCAGTAAACACATTCAAGAACAGGTTACATTTCTTCTGTCAGGACTACTGACAGTGAGCCTGGAAAGTTGGGCCAGATAATTTTTATGCCCTTTCTTAATATTGCGTGAGACTTATTCTGTTTTCTCTAAAATTCTTTGCATCTTAAAAGCTTATTCAACAACCTAAGTCTTAAAATGCAATCTATGCATTTAGAAATTCCACTAACATTTTCATTTTTAGATATGTATAGATGCACTATAGAAAGAAACATAGGATATGAAAAATTTTAAAGTGCCCTTTTCTCCTTTAATTGAGATCAATACTCAAAACAATCGATTGTTTTATGCATTAACTGTCCATATGGCTGAGAAAAAGAAAGAAACTCAATATGCTCTTGCCAAAAAATCTATTTATTCATTTATCCAACACATATTTATGAAATATTTATCAAACCTTTCCTATATGCTAAGCATTGTCCTATGTGGTATACGATTGTATTTTATAGAAACAGCTACAATCAGTACTTTGATTCCAAAAAAATAATGAAGAACCTTAAATATTTTCAGTTTTTACTTATTGGCATTTTATGTTGACAGAGACCCATTATATGTTTACCTATTTACCTAATATCAAAAACTTATTAAAACAAAACCTATTCATTCAAGACATTCCTATTAAAAATCAATCACAAGTTTATAAATATATATACAAACACATATATAGCTTATAAATGAAGTAAACTGTTGCATAGGTTTAGATTTGATTTAGGATAGTAATAAACACTTCTTATTTTATTTATTTGTGTACTGATAAAGATATATGCAACTTGCAGTTAGATGTTATAGATTTGCCATATTTAATATGTAGCTCTCTGAGAGGATGAAATTTATGGAGATGATTAATGAAAACAAAATGTTTTTATCTATTTCCTATCAATATAATGTGAACACAGGTCAGGGGTTATTTTATGTGAAGTCCAAGCCATTTCTAATACTCCCAGTTAAACAGAGCACTGTTTTGTCATGATAATTTAGCTTTGATTAAACTCGACAGGTTGATTTCTCTCCCACCTTTTAAAATTTAAAATTGAAGCCAATATATATTTATATAGAAAAATAATTTGATAATTACATTTTAAATATCATTTTACCATCTTTATAAAACATAAATAGAATCTCAAGGAAGCAATCCAGTTATTTCAGGACATTCTTGAAAAGACTGATTTCAGGAGGAAGAACATAGATAATAAAAGCCATCTTTGATGTTATTTAACACAAAAGTAAACAGATCTTTTTATATTTGACATTAAAAATCTGATCATTTGCCTCCTTAAAGAAATCACATACAGCTTTTATATAGACTGCACAGTAAAGAATAATAATATTTCTGTTTACTGAGATATCAATGGCATTTCACTGTAAGTCAATGGTCTATCGGTGCTACAGAGTATTAGACCTCAATCTGGCATCTACAAATGTCAAGAGTATAAAAAAATATATATAGGATGAAAATCAAAAGCATGTTCTGAACTCCCAAAAAAATAAAAAAAGGGAAACAAAGTTCACCTAAACATATTTGCTGCAGAAATCAGTGCAATATTCAGCTGTCAATCTAGAAAAACAACGAGGGACCACACTGTCAGTAGGACAGGATAATAAAATTTCTAGCAGATGTTCAGGCAGGGCTCTAATTTTTACTGAACTCCCTTGGTAAGCATTTAATTTCTTTATTATATGCAGGCTGGGTAAATTGTACTTCATCAAAACTGTATTGTGAAATATTAATATTTCATATGATAACAAAACTCCATAGAATAACCTTTGTCATATTAAGCGCATCCAAATTTCAAATGTCAAGATTCTGAATTTTAATACATTTTAAATAGATTCTTGATTGGCATAATAAATTATAATAAGGCTAATCTAAATTGGTATACCATAATGCCACACAACTGTATAGCACATATAATATTTTAATAGACATCTTTAGTAAAAGGCTGCAGGAAAAACGCGTTCATACTACTGAGTTGTATACTACAACATATCATCAGTAAGAAAGCATAGAAAGAAGCTCATGAGATGTAATTATATATTCACAACAGGTTTAATCACTAATCAGGGGCCGTATAAGACAACAAAAAAGTAGATCTCTATGAGACAAACTACTCTATAAAATCATGTATAGAAAATAATCCTTTTTTTGAAAATGGCATTATATAAGCTGAAGGTGGCATCATTATTTTTGTCATTGCAATATGCACAAATATGTTTAAAATTATCTGCACAATATTTTGTTTTACCCACCATCAAAGTAACTAAATAGGGCTTCCTAAAAGCCCACATCATTATGTCTCATGTGCCAAATTTAATTTGCATTTGTTCATAACTCCCCTTCTTCTAAACTGATAGATTAAATTCAAATTGGAGGTTTGGAAGGAAGTTAGCTTCCACATTTATTTCTGCTGGTGATCCTAATAAAAGCAACTGCTCTTAGGTTACTGAAAGACACAGCATCACAAATCAATGCATGTCACCAACAGAGTAAAAGACTGATGTTTCTGATTAATCCGAATTCAATTTTTGCAAGCAAAGAAAATCAAATTTAAAGCAGCAAACACCTTTCTTTGCTATAATTCTTCACTTGTACCAAATTAGCCACTTATTTCTGTTTATATATATAATATATATATTTATTTTAAAAAATAGCATAACTAAAAGAGTCAGTAAATGCCAAGACTCAGTTTTCCCCAATAGATTAAACGTTTGGATTATGACTTTCCAGTAATTCTTAAAGGATGAATTAAAACAAAGACAAATATACTATCAATATTCTACAAGGTTATAAACAATTGATTCATGAAATTCTAAAGCCGAATCCAATATTTTCTGTTCATTCTTATACTTTGTTTAATAGAAGTATTTCTAAATATTCAGCCAATGTATTTGAAAAAGAACTTCTCCTTAGTTATTTAAATATAAAAATATTTAAGAAGTATTTTTACGCTGGTTTTTCTAACTTTTGAGGATTCTCTCAATTTTCTTGACCACATTTAGACATAGCATCTTGTGAAGCTGTCAGAATAAGACAGCCTTAATGGTTTAGCCATAATAATGCCAGCTATTGATCTTAGTAAGAGGAAAAAGAGGAGAGAATGTGTTTAATGGGGCATGTTTGTTCTCTATTATTTTCTTTGCCTAAGGATAAGGCTGATTCAAATAATGATACTCTTTTCTTATTCACTAGATTTACACATTCTTATACATTAATTATTACTAACTACCAGTTAGTACTAAATACACTGAGAGGTTTAGCATTTATAATCTTATGATTAAATGGTCTAAAACTGTTAAATTCTGCTGCTCTTTTCTAATTCAAAACCATATAAGGATGCAACCCTCTACTGTATAAAGCATCCTAGTTTGAAAACATGCATTTATATGCTTTGTGTACTTTAAAGAATAAATTTCAACCTTAATACATAGTTTATTTCCTATTATGTATAGAATGTCCACTTTTGGTGTGAGCACAAAGTCATGTCAAATGAAACTCAGAGTATGTGTTTTTGAGGAAATTTTCTATATTAAAAAATTAATGAAGAATTTTATTGCTAGCACCAATGAATTACACTGAGAGATTCTTTTTGACATGAATTGGATCCTAGGATTTAGTGCAAACCAAGCGCATTGTCTTCCTAACTCTGAATTGAGGCATAAGTCCTCAGATTCATACACATTTAGAAATCACAAAAAAATTAATGTCAAAATAATAAAGAGTTTGGGATTATTAAATGAAATAGTCCCTTTTGTAATATTTGTACTTTTGATGCTTTCTAGGTGATACAAAATGAGAAATATATATCTCCCCCTCTTTCCATGGGACAGAAGAAAAGGACAGAAACTAAAGACTAATGTGTAATGAATGATAGGGCTTGTCAAATAGTTTAATAATTACTATTTTTTGATTAAAAAATCTAGATCTTTCCATTATAATATTTATACCTCAATTAAAACACATGATAGACATTTAAACTTGGCTTCAAAAATATTTTCTTACCTTATCAAGAGAGAAAGTTTTGGTCAGAGCAAAACTCCATCCAGCTTCAAAAGCTCTTCTAATCATTGACGTGCTGGTAGCTGGAGTTGCACTAGCAAGACCAAAAGGATTTATAAACTTCAGTCCGGCCATTTCCACACTGATGTCCACCAGATCAATAGGAGTGTAAAAGAGGGGTAGCTCAGGCTTGGCAGAAACTGAAGCTCCATATTGTGACTGTAAAAAATAAACAAATAATTCCTGTTGCATCACATCTAAATTGTCCATATAATATTTTACCAAAAATCACTTCAAGGTAACATTCGAATTAATATAGTTACATCAGTATGTTTACAATGACAAAAACTGGCAAAAATTCAGTTAGCAGTGAATCCAATTCATATAATATCATTCATACTTATTTAATTTCAAGGATAGTATAGAGAGTATTAACAGAAATAAAATCAATTAAATAAAAAAACCCCACTCATTTAAAACATAAAGATTCAAACACAAAAGGTAATAATTACAGAATTTCTCTCCCTGGTCCCATAACCTAGCTTCTTTGTATTTAATTTATGAGAATGTCCTTAGTACTCAGAGATACGGGCAGCAGCAAGTGAGGAGGCCTAAATGCAATTTCCAGTAATCTCACTGCTGTTTATGTGATTTTAGGAAAGCCACCTAGCATGTCCCTGTCTTTTCTCCTCTATAGTTTTCAGTACAACAGCAGGAATGTTGCTTGCCTAATTTCCTACCTCATAGGGATATTGGAAAATGCAGGAAATCATAAGCCACAGGGAGACATCTCATTTGGAAAGTGGGTAACATACTCATGTGCATTAGGGGAGTTTGTTTCAGAAACCAAACAGGTATCAGTTTATGTCAAAATCTTCAGTTGGCACTGAAAACTATAAATTTACCTTTGTTCAATGATTTCTGTAATAATGTTACCTTGCGGGATTATTGGAATGATTTAATGAAAACACTTATGCATAGCACATAGGTGCTTGCTAAATGTTGTCTTCCTTTCTGTCTGGGAGGTTATTAAAGATCTCATCAGGCCTTTTGTTTCCAAAGTGCTTGTCTCTTCCTTGCTCGCTCTCGCTTCCTCCTTCCTTCTCTCTCTCTCTTTCTCTCTTTTCCTCTCTCTTTCTCTCTGTTTATCTCTGAAAGACAAATAATACTGGAAAATGTAAAAAGGATGAATTTTCTCAGCCAAAGCAGTTACTGAATGGACAGGGCTAGTTAATTCAAAAGTAAAACTCCTTTCTCTTGTGAATCATCACTCAAAAGAGAAGTTACTTGAGCAGAACTTTAATTTTACAGGAGTGCGTCTTGTGTAGATAAAGATTGCCATGACTTGCATAGAAATTATTTCTGGGCCTCTACCACTTATAATGCAAAGCAAAGTTCACTTAATATGTAAAAAGGCATCAAACTTGTCATTTGAAACACTAATGTGTCTCTGGTATCTGCAAAGAGGTGCCTGATGGCATCCAGGCTTCAGCTATGGCAAGCGCCTTCTGCCAGGGATGGTCTGGGCTTCAAGGCGCATTTCTGAACATTAGTCAGTCTGACTGTGAAAATAATTTCCTCTGTCTTCAAATAAGATTGCAATACTATTAAAAGGATTATTAGCAAAGACAAAAGCCATAATACGTAATATAGGCAAGTGGTAGGTAATTAGAGATGTGTATATGGATGTGTGTCCATGTCAGTATGTACAAGGATGAATGTAGAAGAAATCCACCCTGGAGGTATTTGCTTAGCTCCATGTAAGCATAATTTAAATAGAATCAATCAAGTTGTAGGTTAGACTGAGAAAGAATTTCCTAACACCAGGAGTTGGTTAATAATGAGAAAAATTTAGAAGCACCTTCCCTATCCGCAGAACCTTAGAAACAACGTTGGGTAACCTTGTCTGTCATCCCACTAGCAGAAACATAAGTGGTCCCATGTACTTGTATTTTGTATGATGAAATAAATGACACTACAAGTTTCCTTCTCTTTTTATGGCTGTGTACTGAAATATCTAATCTCTTCAATCTTACAGATGAATTTTAGTTTGTTCATAATTGTAGCTATATATGGCATTAGGCAATAGCCCAAGGAGGCAGATATATATGTGTAGTTCAACTTTCATTGCTTAACTTATTGTAGTTTTCAATAAATAAAACATCGCTATGAAATTCTTAAGAAGATTGCTTCTGCATCTTTGCAATTATGAATTGAGCTGCTATAAACATTCGAGTGCAAGTGTCTTTTTTATAAAATGCCTTTTTTTTTCTCTTTGGGTAAATACCCAGTATATGTATACTGTGGAGTACTACTCAGCCATAAATAAAATGGTGAACTAATACCCTTTGTAACAACCTGGATGGAACTGAAGACCATTCTTCTAAGCACAAGAATGGAAAAACAAACACCACGTGTACTCACTGTTAAACTGGAACTGACCTATCAACATCGTGTGCACAAATGGTAGTAAAACTCAGCAGAAACCAAGCATGTGAGAGGGGGAGGAGAGGGACAGGCAAATTCACACCTAATGGGTACATTGCACGCTATCTTGGTGTTTGGCACACTTATAATTTTGACCCAAATGGCACAAAAGCAATTTATGTAACCAAAACCTTTATACCCCTGTAATACTCTGAAATTAAAAAAAAAGAAGATTGCTGCCTTAATACTTAGAAAGGAAATTATTTGAACAAATTTTACAATATTCTCCTTAAGCTTCAAAACAAAAACAAAAAAGAAACATCAATCAAACAACAAATAACAAAAAATAAACATACACATATATAAAATTCCTTCAAATAAGAAATACCGCTTTTTAAAATTTTATATTTTCTTTTAATCACAAAAATAACTGTCGATATGTATGTAAAATGCAACCTAAAATCTTCACTGGTAATAGGCAGTGTTTATACCATGCATACACAGGGCTATTTTTTCTTTTGTCTTTGTGGCTTTTTGCCACAGTGTGGAGCTACAGCAACCTATTCTGTTCAACCTCACAGTATATCTATGTCCTGATATACACTTTCTTTTCTCAAGTTTAAAAGGCTATTTCCCCTCTGTAGCCTTGCTCAAGGAACTCAAATATCTCAAGGTCCAGCTCTCACCACGAGGCTAATTTCTCCCAAATTCCAATTGTAATCTTCAAACTCAGCTTTCCAGGAAGCTTCGAGACCTTTGGGTGTGGATACTTTGCCCTTTCTTCAAGCTCAACTTGTTTATCTCATTGTATTCTCTTCTAAAGAATATGTTATCCAGATTTTCAATTTCAGACAATACTATTTTTCCAGTCATGCAATAGTGTTAGCAAATAACAGATATAAAATAATAACCTAGATGTTGAATGGGGATTAGTTCCATAATGATTCTACTATAGAAAGGAATGCTATGGTAGCATAAGAAATGATACAGAAGAAAAGAATTTATTGACGCGAAAAATGTATTTTTCAGATACTAAGTTAAAAAATAGTGAGTTAACATTAAAATTAAATTGAAAGTTTTCAGTAAAATATACATGTATATCTATTTTGCTATGTTTGTATTTATCCATCTATCACAAAGGGTAAACATCAATATGTTAACAGAATTATCTCTCAGAATCAGAGTTTTAGATGGCCTTTAATTTTTAAATTTTTGCTTATTGTATTTTTCATGTTTTCAATAATGAACACAAGTTAATTTATATAAGACGAATACATTTAAAGGTATACTAAAACAATTTTTTAAAAGAAGCGATGATAATCTAAAACCCAATCAAGGAAATGGCCTGTTTAGTTTCCTCCACGGACTGTATTAAATCAACATTTTCAGTTCTATTTATTATTATTCACCAAACTTAAAACAGATAGAGAGCTAGAACAGTCAAAGAGATGATTTATTTTAAAAACGTTATTTTACAAAGAGAAAACTAAAGCCAAAGAAGTTTAAATGAATATCACTTACTGCATTCTAAGTTACTCAATTAGTGGCAAAACAACAATAAAATATATATATTTTTTCTATCTTGTTGGGTAATGTTCTTAAGCTACCCCTAAAAATCAAATGTTCCAATCATTTCTACTCAAAAATACTTTGCGCCTCGCTGCCTCTGCACCTTTCACATTCCGGATCTTTCTTCTCCGCCTATTGAAAAATACTTATTCTGAAGTCCTCCCTGGTCATTACAGATAAATTATTTTGTCTGGGACACTCCTAGGGCATAAAAACTAAAATTCTTTTAATTTATGAATTACATTGAAAATATGTGGTTATAAATTTAAGCATTAACATGCTTGAACTTCCCCATATTTTTCAGCAAAACAATTTAAAATTTCTTTGAATGGCATATTCTGATTGTTTCCATAATGTAGTCCCAATATACCTAGTTAGACTCAATTCTTAACATTCATATAGAGCTATTTTCATTCATTTATTTATTCAGCAAGTATTTATTAAAAACTTGATGATATACAGATGAACAACACAAAGTCCCTGAATTTTATAAACATAAAAACACAAAAAAACTACTAACCAACCTACCACCAACCAACCACAAACTTTAAACTACATTGTTCATCACACTGTTACATGTCTCCATACTTTATCTAACGCATTTTCACCTGCCTAAAATACACATGTAAGACTTTGCCAGCCATCGAACTCCTAATAATCCTTTCAAACTCAACTGATTCATTTGAGCATATGCCTCCTGGCTTAATACCATCTATAGCCTTTTCTGATGTAGCTCACTCTTTTATTTGCTATTTTACAATTTAAAATATGCTTCTACTTCAGTGGTCATCATACTTGGCTAATACATACATGTTAATTTTCTCTTCAGATAGATCATAAGCTCTATGAGGAGAGCGATCGACAGTGACCTACTCAATTATCTCCACTGGAATTAAAAATATGCATCTCTATAAAATACTCTTGAAAGCAAGTCTGTCCTCTGTAGATATATAGATAAATAAAATCACTTTTTCACATGGCAATTCTCAAATATGTTTTAAGAACTATCATATGTTTTCTAAATCTCCATTTCTCCTCTAGGCTAAACATTTTTATCTTTATAATTATTTTATATTATAATTATAATGCTTTTTGACATTCTAGTTGTCCTTGTTGGATGTCTTATTTACTTATATGTTCTGAAATTGAGGCATCTGCTAACATAGTTGAAACATTTAAATATAAGAACTTAAATTTTCGTCATTCCTTTCTTTCCCTTCCCA